AACATTATACGGTTTGCTGGCTGTAGCAGCGCTGCTATAGCGCTGCACAGCAAAAGTGCATAGAAAACAACTAGAATATCAAATATCATATTATCTGTGGTATCTTGGTCAGCTTCCACTTACTCTTTAGTTTTCCAACGACCCAGCTGATAACTTTTCATGTTGCTTGGTCAGTGTTGCGTCGCTTCGTCTTCTGGCGATTTTCATTTTATCTCTTGAAAAAAAAAAAAAACGCTAACAAGGTTCTGTCGATAGAAGCACTTAGCAAGGCTCTAGCGTTCGCCTCGAATATCCTTATGCGTGTTGAGCGCCATCACCTCGTCTTGAAATCCTCGCCACACTTTGACCTCGATCAGCCAGCTACCTTACTGACTGGGAAGATTGCTGATGATGATGATGATGGTGATGATGACGCTCTAAGTTACAACAAATTCATGCTTGGCGAATGAACGGATTTTTAATGAAGTATACATCCGTTGCATTTACACCGATGATTTTATTTATTCAATTGTGTCGGCCCTCGAATGCATGCTGTACACGTGTTAAGCGCTTTGTTCCAAAGCTTCTTGCCCTGCAATTATTGTGTGTCATTACAGACTGGGTAGAATCGCTGAATGGCAGAACCGTTGACGGATCAGCTCTATCAGCTATACGACGACTTGCCCATCTGGGGCAAGGCTACTGTAGCTGGTGGATTAGCTCTCGCTTTGTATCTCCCTTACAAGTATTATTCCACTGCAAGACGCCGAAAAGGGCCAATCAAGCATGACTACGTTGAAGGTGAGAATGTTTCTTCAAGTTCAAAAAAGCACTGCAAAGAATAGGCGTACTTCCCCAAGATAACGACAAAAATTCAAATGAGCGGAAAGCATTTTTTGCTTTTTGTGCGTTTCTGCTTATTTATGAAAAACCCAGGCTGGAACGCACCAGGCGAGCCGGTGTAATCATGCGTTTTTGCATCAAACTTTAAGGTACTCCATCATATTTCCCTGCCCTTGCCCCACCCCTC